AGTTCTAACAGTTTTAATAAATCAACACAGGCTCACTATTTGGCAAGATGACTAAGCCTTATATTGACTACTTAGCGAGAATCAACTCAGTGAGCAACAGATACCAAGGATGCTGGCTGATAAAGAAGACGAAGTAAGCTAAGTAGCCAATATAAGACTTAGCAGTACAGATAAATGTGGGCTCACTATTTGGCAAGCAACCGGTCACAGTTGCTCTGTTTATCTCATGTCTTATAAAAGCTTATTAATGATTTATAAAGTGTTCGCAACCTAATTAATAAATTAATTACAAACTATTCGTAAACCCTTTATAAGGGTAGTCTTATTGTAAAGTGGTACCGATATATTTAATATCCATTAAAGATATATTGCATCATAAATGTATTTGTTAATTATGACATACAGTACATTCAAATCGCCTTGGGAGATGAATTACTGAGTCGAGTGATAGAAAGCAATTAGCATTAAGTACAATAAGAAAATGATCAGACCCCAAGCTGCCAGTCGCACTATATTTCATCCCCTTGTTCACATACTGTAAAGCAATGCAACAGATTGTATTGGGCTAATTATCTATATATATATATATGTCCAGATTAATATGCGGTAATGTGAAAATGTAATGTGTTCCAGTGTATGAATGTACAGTCCAGGTTCTGGAGCGTACATAATGTGAATGGCAGATAAATAGTACATTACATTACATGTTACTTTAATTGTAACAGTCCCAACAGGAGCAATTTGGGGTGAAGTGTCTCAGGGACACAACATGCTGACTGCAGTGGGGTTTGAACCTTATCCGAACACCTACGCACAACCTACTGCGCCACACGCCTCATAGTACATATGTTCAGCATTNGGTAATGTGAAAATGTAATGTGTTCCAGTGTATGAATGTACAGTCCAGGTTCTGGAGCGTACATAATGTGAATGGCAGATAAATAGTACATTACATTACATGTTACTTTAATTGTAACAGTATTGAGTATGTAAGTCGCTTTTATCCAAAGTGACTTACATACTCAATACTGTGGACAGTCCCAACAGGAGCAATTTGGGGTGAAGTGTCTTGCCCAGGGACACAACATGCTGACTGCAGTGGGGTTTGAACCTTATCCGAACACCTACGCACAACCCACTGCGCCACACGCCTCATAGTACATATGTTCAGCATTGCTTTATACAAGAACATGATACTCTACACTTGATTGGAACAAACTAAAATGTTTAGTATTTTAAAATCAAGAAATAATTAAGTTATTAAAGGGAAGTTCCTCAACTCATTTTCCATCCCTCCCTTTCATGATATACCCTTATCTCTCTACATGGCGCTACGTTTATGTAGCACTTCCTTTACTTTCTTTACTTTCTTTCTTCCTCAAACTTCAAAGCTTTCTTCCTCTCCAACACCTTGCCAATCCCACATAGCCGAACACCAACCATCCATAAAGCCCCGCTCACTTTAGCACCAAACAAACCGCCCGCCTCATTACACACGCTAATTGTTAAGTTTCCACTCTATATGCTACTTTCTTTCTTTCTCTCTTTTTTTTTCTTTCTTTCCGTTATATTTTCATGCCATTTCACTTGACAGTATTTAGATTGCTGAGATCAAAGTGCCACAGAAAACATGGAACAGGCAACACAGTTTGTTTGTGATACACGTTGTGCTTATTAGACCGCTACAGAACCACCAAGCTCTGTCTTTTATTCTCTCACTTTTTTTTCCTCGTTTTATTCTTGTCATACGTCAGCGTCTTTTTCTCTTCATGTTAATAATACATTCAACAGTGCATATAACTATTTTAAATGTTAGACTCCATTAAAGATATATTGCAGTTGAAAATTGATGGATGGACTCTATTAACACACTGGATATATTTATTAAAAAAGTAAATAACGTTGTACCATGGCTCATTGAAATCAGGCAGCTATAGTTAATCATGTTGGAGCACATACTCGGCTATAAATAAATACACATACACTTGTTTTTGTGTCATTGTGAGGACATGGTGTACACTTTCACTGGATTAGGGTAAAATGACCTGATGATCTTAACAAATGAAAAGTGGTTAACCTTTTGTCAATCAGCCTTTTGTGCTCTTATGGAAGACAAGTCTCCAAAATAAGGGTTTTTCCCCACAATGTGACCAAATGAAACACATACGTACGTCACACACTAGTGGCATCCGTCTGGGAATTAAATACTTCATTATGTTAGGTGAAGCTGTTCCACTGCATTAGCTCTCTGTAGCAAAAACTGCATTTTTTCAATCATTACCAAGGTGTGTGTGTGTGTGTGTGTGTGTGTGTGTGTGTGTGTGTGTGTGTGACACTGTGTGTGTGTTTCCCCTCTTTCCAATACCGTACAAGGTAGTCAACAGAATTACAGCTCAATCTTTACCACAAGTGGGGAAAAAAGTTATTTCTTTATAATAAACCCAGTTTAACTCATATTATGTTTTGGGAGTACATTTGATTAGTTACAAGAGAGAACAAATATCTGAAACAGCACATTAAAAATGCAAAATATATTTTATGAGTGGTAATCATTTAAAACATTTCAGAGCTGACAAATGTTTGATTTCTTTACGTTGATTACATTTGGTTTCTTGGCGTAAATGCGTTACTTTTCGAAAAAAATATTGTTCCTGAGAAATTATCTGTGGAGTCACAGTAAATCCGGATTGTTCAGTTGCATTATGGGAAATGTAGTATGTAGATTTGTTTGCAGTTTGACTCAAATCAAAGACTAAAAGTCAGGATATTTTTTACTTTGCTTAATGGTGGAGGTATGTTTAACAAGTTTATAGTACTTTCCTTCAGCTTTTTACATTCAGAATAAGTGAATAAAGTCCAAAAAGCCCTACAAATGTTTTTTTTAAATAATCTTTATAATTGACCAAATAAAAAACCAAATGTCAAGACTTTCAGAAAAAAATTGTGACCATCGTCTGAAAAATATGTGAAATATGTTAAAACAATTATGTAACTACCGTCTCTAAATATGTAAAAAATACCTAAATAATTATGAGCAAAATTGGGAAGCTAAAAACATGACGATGATCTTATCTAATAGGATGCATTGCTACAAATATAGAGAGGTGAAGTCCCGCCCATCTTCTTCCGACTCATGGGACCTTATTTCTGAAAAAATTATGTATTGAAGTCAATGGAGAGAGAAAACGTATCTTTTGATCCCGTTTGAATTGTGCCACGAATTACACATATGATGTTTGTCAATCTTAAAAATAATTTCCATGTCAAAAAAGTCAGTTTGTCTGCAAAACTTTTGAAATATAAGACTATGAAAAATACGCAACTAGAAAGATTACAAATCCCAGAGTCGTGTAAGTGAGCAGGTTAGTTAGCATTACAGTCTTAGCCGTGTCATTTTTATTAGTCTTAACATGAAGTAACACAAAATGTTAAACAGTAAGAGTAGTAGACATATTTCGTGATCCCTTTGAAGAGTACTGTCACACCGGTGTGATCATTCTATAATACACCGTTTAAGCCCGGATGCCCCCGGGGAGACATGCTGACGCTAACGCTACATTAGCATCGGCGATCCTTTATTACTTCATGCGATCTGCACAAATGGTTAACGTTGAACATTAAAAAGATCAGGCAGTTCAGGGAGAATCGAAGGAAGGCAGGCAGGCAGGCAGCTTTGCATGACATTCTTCTGGACGTGTTTCATTATGTTGATAGTGAGGGTAGTCAATCACTTTATTGGTAAGACAGTAGTGACGGCCATCTTGGTGATGTGTGTTGTTCTGCGAGACCAGCGATGTAGTTCATTGAGCGTTTCACACAAAAAAAGTCTTACTTCAAAGTTTTACGGCAAAACATTTTCTTTTTGACTTGCAAAATTATCTTTTAAATTGACAAACATCATATGTGTAATTCGTGGCACAATTCAAACCTGATCGAAAGATAACTTTTCTCTAGCCATTGACTCCAATACATAATTTTTCCGACATAAGGTCCCATGGAGGTCCATCGGAAAATGAGGGACTTCGCCTCTCTATTCATTTGACACTTCTGCCGATTTGAAGGTTAAAATAGGTCTCTTATAAAGAGGGTTCCTATACATACATGTAATTTCTCTCATTTCGGGGAGGAAGTTGTTGTTTTTTCACTGACAGTGTTTGAAAACATTAAAATGTCCACATGACACAACATTTCACTTCCTCAAAACATTTTAAATATACAAAAACATAAATAGAATGAAAAATAAATAAAATAAAGTAAAAAATTCATAGAATACAAAATAAATACAAAGGAAGAAGTCAGAATACCAGTTTGATTTACTAAACCTCTTATGACACTGTTGCTTTTTACATTTTATTTTGAAGAACCAGAAGTGGTGTGTTATCGTTGACCGTGATTGACTGTGTTTCAGTGGATGTGGGATACGCAGCTCCTCCGTTAACGCCAGAATATTTTTAGATGCCGGGAGGAAATTTGGCCCTGAATGAAACTTTTTTTTTTTTAGCTGCTGGTCTTTCCTCACATCTGCTGTGATGTCCGTCAGCTGAGAGTGAGGCTCCTTTTGTTCGGATTAATATACTAGTGTCTGTTTCAAGGGATTAGACAACAAGTGTAGTTAACAAAGTGGTACTTCAGAAGTTTTCATCTTTCTCTATTAAGTCTTAATATTTGTTATCAAGGCTCTATAAGTATTTGATTTTGGTGAGTTTTGGGTTTTTCTATTTATATAACATTCCTGTTACATTAATTTGTTTGTTATTGGTTATTGGTCACATTGTTCTATTCTGTGATATTAAAATTGCTCTTAACTAGTATTTTTTAAGGTTGAAGTTTTGTAAACCCTGTATTAAGGCTGTATGTTGTTGTTTTATAATGGTATTTTTATTTATATTAATCAATAGTCAGGAAACAGCTTTTGATATTCCTTAGCAAATCTGGAATGCGGCTGAAGATATTTACATTCATTTACTGAATAATTAATGACTGTGTTTCTTTTTTCGCAGGTGACTGTCCGCTCTCGAGGAGAGGTGCTTCTCTGCAGACGGTAATTCAATCTTCATACTGCAGACCTTTAAATATCTCTCGACCAGCAGCCACGTGGTGTAAGGTGAGACATTCACCCACCAGTCTGGTGATCAGTGGGCGAGCCGGACCCATCGCTGCCACTTCAGACTCTTCAATCATTCTTTCTTTAGCTTATACTGAACTCTAAAAGGACTGTTTACCAGTGACTGCAGGGGATTTCTGTGGCGAGCCCCCACGTCTATTGTTTTCCTTCCTCTTCTGTTTCAGTCCAGTACGCTCTCTTCTTCTTTTGGACTGTGCACCCTGAGGACCTTGCAGTGAATGGAGAACATACTGGTTCTGCTCCCGAAGCACCGACAGGAACACGGGCTCTGCAGGCGCACGACTGCATGTGCCTTGCTGCAGGTTTTCTCCTGGTCTTTAGTAGCGACCCCAACTCACTTTAAGCCTCTTTAATGGGATAAATCAATTGGACTGATCAGGTTCGAGACCAGATCAGGTGGCCAATTCCATTTGGACTTCCCCCCCAAAGAACTGACAGGCCGAGGCAAGCTGAGCTTTTTTTTCTTGTCAAGCCCAGTGTTTTCAAAAGGCTTCCGCATGGTACTTTGGTCGAAAGAACAAGACAAACTCCCCGACATCGACATGTCCTCCGGGGACATTGAGGGGACGAAGGAGGGCGGCCCCCTGACCCCAGCCCTACTCAACTCCAACTGCTCGGTGCCCCCAGTGGTCCTCTCAAAGGGCCCCGAGGAGGAGAGCCTGGGGAGCGGGAACAACCTCGAGCTCACAGAGGTCCCGAACGGAGACGCCGCGGACGATGTGGAGAGGTCGGAGATCGTGGTGGCGACGGACTGCCGGGCGAACGCCAAAGGTCAGCGAGAGGAAGACGCTCTGCTGGAGAACGCCAGCCAGAGCAACGAGAGCGACGAAACGAGCACCGACCAGAGCCCAGAACCACTGGCGCCCCTCAAAGAGACCTCCTTCACCATCGGCCTGCAGGTGGTCTTCCCCTTCCTGCTGGCCGGGTTCGGGACCGTGGCAGCCGGGATGGTGCTAGACCTCGTCCAGGTGAGAGATCCAGACCTATTCTTTTTTTTTTTAAATATATATATATATATATATGATTTATTTGCGACATTGTCAAACACAGAAAGCATACATACATAGACCCTTACATGTACAATAAAGGGAGTAGAAGAGACCATTCTACCAGGGTCAACAATACCAAAACAAACAACAACAAAAAAACAGACAGTAACCACAAAAAACAACATTGAAATACAATAAAATAAATAATAATAATAACAACAAAAGAAACATATACAAGACATTCTAAGGCATTAAGCTACTCGACATACTGTGTGCTACTAGTGCGAGGAAATCTAGACCTATTCTAAGATGAGATGCTCCTTTATTAATCCCTGTGGGGAAATTCAGTAGTTAAACAGCAACAGGGTAAGAATGAAAAACAGGACAGCACAGATTCACACAGATTAGAGATACTAATAACTGGTAACTTTAAACTAAACTATACGGCGCACAGTGAGCATGCAGCAGAGAGAAACTGGTCCATCCAAACTGGAGAATATTGTCCAAGCTTAAAGATCTAGTGATGCTAATGGAAATATGTCGGGGACTGTGAGAAAGTGGAAGCGGGGAACATCTTTATAAAGTAAGTCCTTGGTATTGGTTGTCAGTCTGAAAAGCTTAAGCTGATTGTAAATTTAAACTCCTTTATTAATCCATGGATCACTGATGCTTATTAATTTAACACGTCTTCATAAGGTGATACAAAGTGTTGAGGACATGTGCTCAAAATAAAACTCATCAAGCAGTCATGTGACCTGTGTCACATTGCACACAAATGCGGCCCAATTGACACCTACGATAGATAGAATATATGAAATGGCATATCTAAATAAATGTGCAAATGTACTGTAACAAAGGCACACAAACTTGCAAAAAATAAGAGAGATATCAAATAATATTATAATGAATTAAACCTTAGATAAATAAGCTAAATGTTAAATGAAAAATGACAATCATATTGTATAATAATCACACATTATGTCAAAAAAAGTAAAGTAATAAGGACAAAAACAATGGAAAAAGTGTACATAGACAATAAATAATGGGATTTATCGATTAATTTTCTTTCAAATAAAGGATTTTAATTTAGACTTCCTTGTTTCCTTTAAGACTGCCAACCAATACCATTGTCACCCATTAAACAATTTATATTGCCATATCATTCAAAATGATCAGATGTTATTCCATCACCACCAACTGCAGTTTCCTCACCCAGTAAAGCACTTTTTTTCATACAGCATCACAGGATACTTGTTCACGACGTGAACTCCACTTCAGTCCCATTCTCACGTTACCTGGGATAGACATCATGAGCTATATTTAAGTTTGTATAATGCGTCATTGCACTGTTTCTGATGTTTCCAGGCGTGTTTGCCGAGTCATACTATGGGATGGGCCCCCGGAGCATTTGAGTTAACTGGTTTAACTGGCCTCGCTCACCTTGGCATGTATCTGTCATCGTGCTCTATGGTGGCATCTGTTTGGGGACGGGTGGGGCAGTCATCACCACCAGTGTTGGGACTAACGCGTTACAAAGTACTTTTTGCGGTAACTAATAGCGTTACTAGTTACCTATTCCCATTAAGTAATGCCGTAATAGTTACTGTGATTTAAATGGGTGCGTTACTGCGTTACATTATGTAATGGAACTGAACCGAATCTCCCTGTGGATGTAATTTAGAGGCGAATACAGCGATGTCCTCTCACAGCACCATGGAAAAGTGAAAGTAACCAGAGAGGAGTGATGATTGGTTAACGCGGGGTAACATTTCAGGGTAAGCCAATCAGAGACAGAGTTGGGCGGGTCTTGCCTTATGGGGAACATACACAGACACACAAACACTTGCTAATGCTAACAAACACACACACACACACACAACGCTCACCACCAGCACTCACACACACACACACACACACAAACACACACAATGGCAGATGCAAGTATCAGCGAGAGCAGCAGCGCATTTATAACTTGGAGATATAACCACTATTTTCAATTTGTGGGGATAAAGGACGCAAAAAATATTACGGTCAAATGTAAACTGTGCGCAGGACAGAAAGTATTGTCTTACTGTGCCACAGAACAACACAAACATTGTATTTTTATTGTTATTATTTTTTAAAGTAAACTTGTTACTAGTTACTTTTATAATTTAGTAACTAATAAAGTAACTAGTTACTTTTTTGAGAGCAGTAACTTTAACTATTACTAGTTACTTTTTAAAAGTAACTTGCCCAACACTGGTCATCACACACCTAGGGGTGATTTTAACCTGTCTCACCCCTCAGGACAACTCTCATACTGTTACACTCTTGATCCAATCCAATGTAATTGATATAGCATATTTAAAAACAAGAGAGTTGAACAAAGTGTTGGACATCAATGAATATATAAAAAGCAGCATAAACACATTTAGACAAAACCGATAGGACAAAAAACTAATGTAAAAGCACGAGACAATAAAACCATACTTATAGTCACAGACTGAAAAACTCTCATACACAAAGTAAAAACATTTAAAAACAGAACAAAATAGAAAAACCCCAATAAAAAAAAAACAGACTGACACATCTTACAGTATACGTGGTCTGCAACAGCACGGGAGAACAAGTAGGTCTTTAATCTTCTAATGCACTGTCACACATCCTTCTGCTTTAAGTATGTTTTACAGAATATAAACACAAATAGAAGGAGCTAATTGTAGTGCAGTGTGTAGCCAGGGCCTCCCAAAAGTCTCAATCTGTGTCTGAATTTGCGTACTGTAATTACATTTGCTTCTTTGAGTATATGTGCGTTAGTATGGCTATATGAACTACTGCCAAGAACGGTCAACATAACAGTAAAAAAATTCAGTGCTCACTCTCAACGATCCCCAACTAATGGGACAAGCCACAAATGTGTTTGCTCTCTGGAACACAGCAGCATTATATAAAACAATGTGTATACATGTATCTTATATTCATTACATTACATGTCACTTGTTAGACTCAATAATGTGGACAATCCCCACAGGAGCAATTTGGGGTGAAGTGTCTTGCCCAGGGACACGACGACACGCTGACTCTTTGAACCTGTGACCCCCTGATCCGAACACCTACGCACAACCCACTGCACCACACGCCTCCCTATTCATTATTTAATATATTTACCAAATATATTGGTTTCGAAAATAAGCCACCGTTATTTCATTGGGGTAGTTTAGCAGTCTCTAAGTAGTTGGTGTAGAGTGGTGCAGGAATGAGTCCTAAAACCTGGAAAAGACTTAGCATTACCACTTCTGGTTCCCTCGTCTCAAAGTCAATGTTTTTTTAGTGTGTTTGTGGTTGCTGAATGTGTTGGTGGTTGCTGAAATAAGGTCTCTGTTTAAAATAAGCTGAAGACATGTTCACGTTTTGTTCTACGACATAAAATACATCAGTAAAAATCCCACTCATGAATGTCTGAATCTTGTATGTATCATAAAAACAGCGAAGTGTCTAAATAGGCTGCTAAAACATCATCACATGAACATTAGCCACCTTTAGCTTAGCAGTGCTGATGTGCAGCCATGTGACTGTTATGTAGTTTGTTTATAACCTAGCGGCTAGCGGTAGCTTTTTATTTCTTACAATTGCATTTACGCTTCATAAATCACAAAGAGGTGTTAATATGTGCCGATCAAAACGTGTTAAGTATCATTAATAAGTGTTTCCAACAAAGCGTATTTCTTGCGATGAACCGAAATCCAATGGAGAAATCCCAGAGCTTTTTTGTTCACTCTATTGTGAACCATAATGTAGCTAGCTAGCTAACACCGTGCTGGTTTGACTTCCAGTGAAGGCATAGGTGTTGTGTACGATTTGAGACAATGTTATCCAGTCAACATTCACACACTTCACTCACAGTGTTCACAGTGTTCAGTGTACCACAAGGCAGTGCACTTAGGGAAGTACAGCTCCTAGAGAATCTGTGTTTACATGCACTGTAGAAATGCAAAATAACATTTAAACAACGTTAAATACTAGGTTATACAGAACAAAAAGTAAAAAACTGTCAAAAGTCTGCACACTACCAGACAATGCTCCCATGAACAAACCAGTAATAAACATATCTTACTGGGAGCATTGTCTATTATTTTTCAGTGAAGAATTACAGGCCAAAGTCATGCTGGTCATATATTTCTTTAAAGTCAGCCTGTGATGCAGATAAAACTGAGGGGTCAGGCTGCCAGGAGACCAGTCCGGCACATCGTGTACAAGCATACTGATGCCAACATGGTGGCTGGGGTCCCCAGGAACTCAGCACAGAGAGGAGGGGAAGAAGCAAGGAAATAAGAGTTTCTTTGAGCACCTGCAATGGCAGCACACTTCAGTCGAGCTCGAGGGAAAACAAAAAACACAATGCAGTGTGACAGCCTCTATTACCGTGTGGTTAGGTATTCTCGCTGGAACCAGGAATGCAGAGGTTTGAGGTCAGAAAAGTTTTCATGCTGCCTTAGGTCAAAACAGTTTTCATGCTGCCTGCACCATGCTGCTGCAGTCTCTCTAGTTTCCAAAACACTCAGAGCACCATTCCTTCGGAGGTGAGGCTGGGAGAGAGGAGACATATTGTAGATGGTACAGTGATTTATTGTTCATTTATTATAAGGCCTGATTGTGCCTCTGGCTGAAGAATATACTTGCAAGCCTCGGCATCTAACAGGTGCCTAATTCCCAGGCCTTGAAGCTGTCGAACGCTAACTCAGCTAATTAGCTCCTTGCAGGAAGGTAATTGTCTAACTCTCTCTCAGCCTCCTTCTCTCTCTGGTTCAGTCCGAAGGCACCAGCTCTTTGCTAAAAGTAAGCTTGAAAACCAGAACATGCTAGAGCCTTTATTTGATGTGTCTGCCTGGCCCGAGTTGAGTCGTTTTGGCTTGGATCGGAGCATGACTTGGCGCTTCGCTTCGCTCTCAACCCAAAATCAGGCTTCTTTGAAATGTGGCCTCTTTATAGTTGGTCAC